GGTTTTATCTTATGTTGGTGCCTCCCCTCCCCACCCCCCACATGAAACCTATGCATAGTTTTTCAGCATATTTCCTATGAACTTTTGGAAGAATCCTAAGTGAGAACTACTGAGGGCAGGGGCTGTTGTTAGAACCATGGCAGCAGCAAAGAGCAAAGATAAAACTATGTACCAGAGTATGTTTAGAACTGGCCATGAGTTCTTCGGATAAGGTTATATTCAGAGTGCCGTTTAAGAAATACTTACTGGAATTCATAAAGAAATGTTAAAATCAAAATCCTTTTGAGAAGTCAAAATTCCTTAAATTCAGCTCGGTGCAATACAGTCCCAAATGAGATGTTAAATTTTTCATGAGCAGAGTTTTTTGTGCTGTTACCAGTGGTGAATTTTGAAGCTAAGGATGTATACATGTAATCTCTGGGGAGACTTGGGTTTCATGGTTCTGTATTATAGGGCATGAGACACTTTACTGATAATTTGAATATCAGAATGGAAATGAAGGGCATTTTCTAAAAAAATGTGTTATATTTTTTTAGTAGGTTACATATTCACACATCGTTCAGAAATCTGCAGGCACAACAGGGAGTGATAATGAAAAGTCTCTTTCCCGCCCTGATGCCCTCCTTGAATCTAGTGAGTGGTTCCGAGATAATGTAGTCACAGACAAATACCCACAAAGGCCAGCCTCGGTCATACTGCGGGGTCTGTTCCACACCACTACAATAAATTGTTTTGTTTCCCAGTGCATATAAAAGTTATGCTTACTTTAGACTGTCAAGTTGTGGGGACTGCAGGAGAATACACTGGACTGCGAGGTCAGCAGCTCAAGCTCCTTGGAAACCTTGTACAGGGTCACTGTGAGTCAGAACCGACTCCGTGGCACTTGACAACACCACCTTACTGTCTATTAAGCATGATGAACAAGTTGGGACTGTCGTGAGAATGACTGAGGTGTGACACAGACAGGAAGTGAGCCCACGCTGCTGAAGTAGACTGGGCGCCAGTGGACTTGCTCAGTGCAGAGCTGCCCAGACCTTCCCTCTGTACCACTGCAGGATCCGAAGTGCAGTAAAGTGACACACACTCAGAGGAGGGCTGACTGAGTCCTAGATGTTGCTTACTAAAGCTCTGGCATTCTGTCGTGGTGGTGGTAACTGTCGCTGGTCAACTCGAACCCTGACCTTATGGTTCACAGGCCAGTGTTTATTCTACAGAATCATTTATTTAATCATCCCCATTGAGCCCTGGGGAGTCCTGGTGGGGCACTGTGGGTTAATGCACTGGACTGCAAAGTTGGTTTGAACTGCAAGGTTGGCGGTTCAAGCTCACCAGCTGCTCTTTGGAAACCCTATGCAGGGTTGCTATGGGTCGGAACTGACTCAACATCACTTAACAACAACATTGATCCCTGGAGGGGACCTTGTGTGGCACTGTAAGATAAGCATTGAGCTGCTAACCACAAGATTGGCAGTTCAAACCCTCCATCTGCTCCTTGGAAACGTTATACAGTGTAGCTATGAGTCAGGACCGACTTGAGGACTCTTAGCGACAACACTGATGTTCACAAGGAGCCCTGGTGGCTCAGTGGTTAAGAGCTGAGCTGCTCACCAAAACGTTGGCAGATTGAACTGGCTCGCAGCTCCACAGGAGAAAGATGATGTGGCAGTCTGCTGCGGTAGAGATTTCCGGTTTTGAGATACTATGGGACAGTTCTACTCTAAGGTTGCTCTAAGAGTCCTAGCCAACAGCACACAACAGAAAGGATCGTTGAGTCAGAATTGACTTGAAGTCTTGGGTACTGAGGGTAAAAATGATACAGTGAATAGCTTTGTGTATACGACTTTCACTGCAAGTAGCAAAGAGGTCAGTTTGAAGACTAAAGTACACCTTACTCAAGCCATGGTATTTTTAATAGCCTCATATGTATATGAAATTTGGACAGTGAATAAGGAAGACCATAGAAAAATTGATGCATTTGAGTTATGGTGTTGGACAAGAATATTAAAACTACCATGGAGTCCCTGAAGAACAAACAGATCTGTGTTGGAAGAAGCGCAGCCAGAGTGCTCCTTAGAAGCCAGGATGGCCAGACTTTCATCTCTTATACTTTGGACATATTGTCAGGAGGGACCAGTCACTGGAGAAGGACATCATGCTTGGTAAGGTGGAGGGTCAGCAAAGAAGAGGAAGATCCTCAACACAAAGGATTGGCACAGTGGCAGCAGCAATGGGCTCATGCGTAACAATTGTGAGGGTGGTGCAGGACTGGGCGGTGGTGTGTTGTGTATTAGGGTCGCTGTGAGTTGTGAGGGTGGTGCAGGACTGGGCAGTGTTGTGTTGTGTATTAGGGTAGTTGTGAGGGTGGTCCAGGACTGGGCAGTGTTGTGTTGTGCATTAGGGTAGTTGTGAGGGCGGTGCAGGACTGGGCGGTGTTGTGTTGTGTTGTGCATTAGGGTCGCTGTGAGTTGGTACTATACAGACTTGACCACATCTGACAACATATATCATCCACACATACATGCTGTAGAATAAATTATTGGATCAAGAAGTAAATGTTTACAATTAAATATAATTCTTAACTGTTCGTCTTCTTAATTAAAAATGACAAGATTGAGAGAAATGAGAAAAATATCCATATCCACAAAAAAATAAAAGAGAAATCTGGCTTGAGTCTAATAAAAATAAAAGCTATTAAGATCTTGATGACTGTCCTTTTAAACTTTCCATGATGCATACATAGAGTTCTATTTATTTTGATGTCCAAAGCAGGCCTGAATACCATGCAGAGGGAAAATAAAATTAGTTATCTATTGAATTACGTTATCAAAATCCTAAAATATCTGATCAATTTTAAATTCATTTAGAATTAGAAATTTATATTAAAAAAATGGAGAATGGGTTTTTCTAAACCCTAGATTTGAACATTAAAATGTGTCAGTTTTTATGAGTGTGAGTCAGAAATAACCCACACTCGTTATTCATAACCACATCCATGGCTGATGACAACATTGAGTGTGCATATGAAATGAGTCTGTCTGATAGATGAGTTGACAGTGGATTATGTGGCAAATCATTTACAAATCAGCCATGGCTCTGTGTATGAAGTAATCCACACCAGACTTGGGTTTCAAAAAGTTTGTGGGAGCTGGGAACCAGAATCACTCAGGGAAGAAGAGCATTAAATGGAAGCGCCTGAATGTCTGCAAATAAAATTTGGACCCGATACTCAAGGAAGGTAAAAAAAAAAAAATCATTACTCTGGATGAGACATGCGTTCATCACTAAGGAGGGCCTGAGAGTAAACGGCAGAATATGGACTGGAAACAGCCTCAATTGCTGACCAAGAAGTTCAAAAGTCAACCATCAGCTGGGAAACTGATGCTTAGAGTGTTCTGGGGATTCTTAAGGGCCACTGTTGGAATACCAGGAAAGGTTTCAACAATCAGTAGTGCTCATGACAGTGAGATGCTCACTGAAGAGCCGAAGCCTAAACTTCAGGTTAAACTCTGAGGACTGCTGTCCAAGGGTGTAGTGATCTTGCGTGATCACGCATGTCTGCCCACTTTTGCCCACACGGTTGACACTGCAGAGACTTAGTTTTGAGTTGTTAAAGCATCTCCTGAGAGTCCTTTTCTTGTTCCTTTGGACTTTGACCTGCTAGGTTCCCTGAAAGCAGCCCTTCAAGGATGAAGAATGAAGAAACGAAGATAGCAGTGCATTCGTGGTTTAGAGTTCCTCCTAAGACACTTTTTAATAAGGGACTACAAAAGCTTGCTGACAGATGGAGAAAGTAAATTGTAAAGCAAGGAGGTTATGTTGAAAAATGATCAATTAGTCTTCTAAAAATTGATGAAAATAAATGCTACAGCCCGAGTGCAGATAATTTTTGACTCATCGTACATAACTTGATTCAGTTAGAATTTGTTTTTTTTTTTAAAGCAGGTAAGCTCTGTTTTCACTTTAACTTCAAGTATATAAGTCAGAACTGACTCGATGGCACTTAACAACAATGTATCAAAATGACTGCCATCGAGGTGATTCTGACCCATGGTGACTTTTAGGGTTTCCGAGACAGTCTTCACGGGAACAGCCAGCCTCATCTTTCTCCGTTGGAGTGGTTAGCAAACCAGCACTTAGCCCACAGGTCACCAGATCTCCTGACTTCAAGTATGAACCCTGATGATAAGCATGCTGCTAGCTGTTTAGGAAGTGGTTTCTAGTGTCAGGTTGGAACTTACTGAAGTTCTTGGTTGCCATCACAGTGTTGATTGCTTGGTCCTGGGCCTCAGTTAGACTGGGACTCCACAGACTCAGAACCCTCCTGTTTGTTTTCCTCTCCCCATTGCCTAGTGTAGAACTTGGCATGGCAGCTCCTGGGGACGCTTGTTGAATTAATGCGGAACTCAGTCATCTAGGCGTTCTTGGATCATTTGCTGTGTCCGAATTGTTCCTGGAGGATATTTTGCTCCAGGCAGGGGCTGCTGCTGTTATGTGCAGCAGCATGAGAAGACCCTGATTTACCAGGAGTTTGCTTTGCCGTTTATTACTGTTTCTGTGCATTGTAAATGATTGTCAGTGTAGTACTACTCTGTTGCTGGTAAGTGCATTTAGAGTCTGTTCTGACTGAAAGCAACCCTGTATAGGGTTTCCGAGGAGCAGCTGGTGGGTTTGAACCACTGACCCTGTGGTTTACAGTCCAGTGCTTGTCTGATAGTGCCACACCAGGACTCTAGGTGTCTCATTGTTTATCTGCACGTTGTGTGTCCTTGCACTACCTCCTGAGAGAGAACTGCTGCCACCCTTTGAGAGCATATCTTTGCTCACTTTCTTCTCTGTCCCCAGCCCACCTGCATTTGCAGTTGGCCTTTTGAACGCCCTTCAGTTTCACACTGGTCGTAGCGATACGCTGTGACTGAGAGGACCTGTGACTGGAACCTGAGATTACCAGCTTTTGTAAGGTGCGGCACGGTCTCATTTTACAAACCTGCGATTTCTTTCAGGAGGAGGCAAAACAGATTCAGATTCTGCAGAAGGCCAGCAGCCGGGCAGACTCTCGGGAAGATGAGATCTCTCCTCCTCCCCCCAACCCGGTGGTCAAGGGCCGGAGGCGACGCGGTGCCATCAGTGCTGAAGTTTACACAGAGGAAGATGCAGCGTCATATGTTAGAAAGGTACCTCCGTCCTGGGGCTCACGTGGGACTCACCTGGTCTCTGATGAATGCAGGTGCTATTTGAGCAGTAAAACTTCATCCTGTTGCAGTTCTTTGTAGCACAGGTTTGGTAGCAACTTGCCTCCAGCACAAGTCACCGGTGACGATGGTAAAGCAGTGTGTAATGGGGTATGGGGAAGGCTCTTGGCTGTGCCTTCGTGTCATAGTGGGTCATGGTGTGTGAAGGTTTTGATATCCTGTACTTTGTCATGTGACTTTCAGCCTTCTAGCCCATGACCTCCATTTATCCTAAACAGCTCTCTGGCCATTTCTAGCTGTGCCGTTAGTCCCAAGGGGACCAGGGTCGTCCTGATAATACGCGTTCACAGCTTAAAAACATGACTAGTTGCCATAAAGTACTTAGCTTTGCCTTAGAATGAAGACCTTATTCAAGGGTGGTGCTAGTTCTTCTTGTTAGCTGGAAACCAGATACTAGCCTGTTAAGTACAGGTCTGACTGCTGTACACAAGGGGATTAACTAGTCCGTATTTGTGGAGTATTTTGTGATCAAAGACAACACAAGTGTGTTGTAGTGAAAATATTTAACTCAAAGCAGTCTTGTTTAAGTACATTAGTCTAGCTTGTGATTGCTTTGAAGTGCAAGTTGTAAACATGAAATGTTTTTGGTTTATGGAATCGCCATTTGACCTTCAATTCTTTTCTAGGTTATACCAAAAGATTACAAGACAATGGCTGCTTTAGCCAAAGCCATCGAAAAGAACGTGCTGTTCTCGCATCTTGATGATAATGAGAGAAGGTACAGGTTCTTTCTCATAACTATTTTCCCAGTAATGTAATAGTCCAAAACTATTCTCAAATCATTGCCACAAATTTTAAGACTTTTTGTACTCTTTTCATCTGACGACCATCCGGCCTGAAAACCCGACACCTTTAACTGTAAAGTTAGAGTGAACGCCACAAAAGAGACATGAAGTGAAATGTAACGTGAGGCTTTCTGTCCCTTTCAGTGATATTTTCGATGCCATGTTTCCAGTCTCTTTTATTGCCGGGGAGACTGTCATTCTGCAAGGTAAGCACTGCTAATTCTGTGATACAGGTTACTGCTAGAAGGGAGGGAGATGAGAACGAGGCTGCGTTTGGTCTTGTTTTATGGAGGGTTTTTCCTCTTTGGTTCTACCTTCTTCATTTGTTGTTGTTAGTGCCAGGGAGTTGGTTTCAACTCATAGAGACCCTGTACACGGTGTCCAAGACTTTAAATCTTTTGTGGGAGCAGAAAGCCACATCTGCCAAGGAATGGCTAGAGGACTCCAACTGCTGGCTTTGTAGTTTGCAGTCTAGTGCTTATCCTGAGGAGCCACTGAGCTCTCTCTTGCTCTGTTACACATTTTTTCCAGGTTGTTTATTTTTTAAATCTCGAATTAAAATCCTTTGAGTGAAAAGGCAGTCTTTCTCCAAGGGCCTAATATTTCCTTATTATCTAGTGTAATTTTGTTTGTAATCACTGTTAAAGGAAATTCATCATTGTTTATTCTAAATGCTATATGGGATTTTATAACTGCATGGCATATGTATCCTTTATAGTGATTATTAACCATTTAAAAAGCAGGAGATTAACAAAATACCCACATCCATCAGTATGCAGTCTTTATATACCGTCATCCATCGGTAGGTAGTCTTTAGTTTCTAAGTTTTCTATCTGCCTACATAGACTACCGTGGTTGGAATCTTTTGGGTATCCCCTTTTTTCCTTATTTACTTGACATTTCAAGAACATTTTAAACAATGCATTTTCTCATTTTGTGGCAATCTGATCTTTAGGGTGTTTTGTTTTGTTGTTGTTGATAAAGTTGGCACAGCAGTAACGATTGTGTAAACTTTGTAGCTTTTTTAAAAGTATTTTCTCCAGGGATGTATTTTACCTTGAGATGATTCTGTAAGAATGGATCCAATTTTTATACTTTCAAAGTAAATGGTTGGATTGTTGCTTCACAGAATCACTATGACATAGGGTTAGTGTTTACATTGATTTGCTCATTGTGATTTGTATCTCCTTAAATTGGGATATGATGACTGACTTTACTTTCCTCTCTTTAGGTGATGAAGGTGATAACTTCTACGTCATAGATCAAGGAGAGATGGATGTAAGGTTCAATAATAGCAAAATTATGTTGATAACCTCAAATGTCAGTGTGTTGATTCTGTGTCACTTGTCAGGAACAAGGGCAGTGTTTCTGGAGGGCGGGTGGGCTGGCGGGCTGTAGCGCCTGCATCTGTACCTTCTGCCAGGTGTTTGAAGTATCACTGAGCAGCTTGACATATAGGGGTCATGTCTCTAGTGAGACAGACGCCGTATTGCTGCTGTGGAGGTTGGGATGTGTATTCTATGGGGAGGCTCCGTCCAGCTTCTAGTAGGAATCCTGAGGCTCTGCTCAACTTGCTTACTTCTGTGAGTCTTGGTAACACTGAGACACGAGGGTATTCACAGCGTTGGTCTCACTGACTGCAGCAGATTTAGTGACTTCATGCCAGCCGTGCACTTGGCATGACCCTCTGAACTGTGTGATGGGAATGCATGGTTAACCTTATTAGATAATTAAACAAGTGAATCACAGATACTCTGACCTCATTTAACTTGAATGTTGTTGTTCTGTATACTGAAAGCTGGCTATATTTTAGTTTTTTAAACCAAGGTTCAGGTTCTGCCTCTTTAAAAAGTTGTAAGGATTTTTCATCTTTGTGCATTTGTGTGTATATAAAGGATTCTTTGCTGTCATTTGCATTTAGGTCTATGTCAACAATGAATGGGCAACTAGTGTTGGGGAAGGAGGGAGCTTCGGAGAACTTGCTCTGATTTACGGAACGCCTCGAGCAGCCACGGTGAAAGCTAAGACAAATGTGAAGTTGTGGGGTATTGACCGAGACAGCTATCGCAGAATCCTCATGGTAAGACACCCTGGTTTATGGAGTGGGGTGAGAGTTTCTGTCTGTAATGAGTGTTGGAATGACACTATGAGCAAACTAAAATCAGGATGTCATTTACTTTTCCTGATAGAATAATTTCTTGTGAGCCCAATTGAGCGTTATTCACAATACCCTTGGAAAGGGTAATCTTTTAGAGTAAAATGTGGCCAGAAAGAACATGGGAAACAAAATGTGTACCTGTAATGTTTTGTTTGGAAAGCTTTCCGTTCACTGATAGGCACATCTTAGCTTACCTAGTTCTCCTGTGTCACAAGGAGCTTGATAGAGCTTGCTTTGAAAGTGCATGTGGTTATTTATGGCCATTCTGCAAATGAATTACCAATAATGCAAATATCATTTTTCCACTCACTGAAGGAATAAACGAACTAACAAAACCATTGTAACATTCTGCTGTGATTAAGTTAAACTTTCTGAGAACTTGGTGAAGATTTTAGGGGAGACAACTAATGGCATTAGTCAGTGGGAGCGGTTTTCTTAACAACATTGTACAGTGCCTGTCTGGCTCTTTGAAAGTGTGCAGTCTAGTGTGATCTGACATTTTTCTGCCCTTGGGAGGGTGTGTGGGCACGCATGTGTGCCTACATTGGTAATCCTCGGGATATGAGCCAAATCTTGTCCGAACTGTGCCTTTCAGAAATTTGTAGGTAAGTCAGAACAGGTGCATATGATTTTTTACCTGGCTACACTTCAGTATAAGATTCGTGGCCTTTGCAGTGATTACGAAGCTGCTCGAGCCCGTGTGGAGGTGATTGTGGTGCAGAGTTGACTGTAAGGAGGGCTGGGGTCAGTCTTGTCATGCAGGCCTTCCACCTGTCTCTTCCTCGTTCTGGAAGCTCCGAGATGGCAGTCCACCGCTCCGCTTTGCCTCTGCTGATTTCTGCAGTCTGTCCAGTCTCCCGCATCAGGCTCCAGAGATGGCTCGCTATCCTTTTGCTGACTCTCCCATTCCAGGACCTAAACCCAGCATTTTCCCTGTTCTGTGATGGTTCACCCAAGTTCTCAAATTTTGGTTCTGTTCCGTTTTCACTCATCGTCCATGACCGAAGTGGTTTGAAGCCTTTCATAAAAGGACCAGTGGGAGCTGCCTGGCAGTTGGCTGTTTGTAACCTGGAGACTGCCTAGGTGGGTGTAAGTACACAGGACTGGGTCTCTCCCTTGCCGTCCTCCACAGAGGTGGATCTCTGCAGCTATGACGACTTGCCCATATTTGGGGTCATGACTTTTTCCTGTTTTTTCCCCCTAAGTGACAGTCATTTGTTTTCTTCTGTGAGGAATTAGAGTTAGGTGTAAGAGCTCATGCTGGGAATATATTCAGCTATAATCATATAGATGGAGCTCTGGTAGCGTAGTGGTTATGAATCAGGCTGTGAACCTCAAGGTCAGCAGTTTGAAACTACTGGCTGTTTCACGGGAGAAAGATGAGGCTTTCTACCCCCATAAAGATTTACAGCCTCGGAAACCCTATACAGGGTCACTATGAGTTAGAACCGACTCCATGGCACACACACCACCACCACCAATCATATATATTACTTAGGTGGGTCTTTTTTTTTTTTTGGAGAACTAATAATTTGTTTATTTAAAATTTCACCAATTTAGTAAAAACAAAAATCCTCATCACTGGACCAATAAACAGCATTCTTACCAATGGAGAAGAGATTGATGTTGTCAAGGACTTTATTCTTCTTGGATCAACTATCAACACTCATGGAAGCAGCAGTCAGGAAATCAAATGATGTATTGCATTAGGCAAATCTGTTGCACAAGACCTTTTGAAAGTGTTGAAGAGCAAAGATGTCAGCTTGAGGACTAAGGTGCACCTGACCCAAGCCATGCATGCAAAAGCTGGACAGTGAATAAGGAAGACCGTAGAAGAATTGATGCTTTTGAGTTATGGTATCAGAGGAGAATATTGAAAGTGCTGTGGGCTGCCAAAAGAACCAACAGGTCTGTGTTTGAAAAAGTGCAGCCAGAGTGCTCCTTGGAGGCCAGGTTGGCCAAATTTCGTCTTTCATACTTTGGACATCTTGTCAGGAGGGACCAGTTGCTGGAGAAGGATATCATGTTTGGTAAGGTGGAGGGTCAGAGAAAAAGAGGAAGACCCCCGGTGAAATGGATTGTCAAAGTGGCAGCACCAATGGGCTCAAGCGTGGCAACAATAGTGAGGTTGGCCCAGGATCGGGCAATGTTTCCTTCTGTTGTACGTAGGGTCGCTGTGAGTTGGTACCGACTCGATGGCACCTGACGACAACAAGGAACCTTTTGGAATGTTGGTGTGGTGCTGTGGGATAAGCATGAGCCTGCTAACCACAGAGGTGGTGCTCAGTCCCACCAGCCACTCCTCAGAAATGTTATAGAATTGCTATGAGTTAGAACTGACTCGAGAGCACTTAGTAACAGGAATCTTCTGTGGAGACATGCCTGGTTTTCCTCTCGGTAGGAGCCACTTACAGAGAACTAAACAGAGGCTCAGCATCATAAACAGGAGAGAGACTCACCAAGAAGACCTTTCTTCTATAACTTGACAGCATGTTACCACTTTTCTGATTTTTTAGTTTGAAACCTAATATTTCCCAGTGTTGTGATAATTACACATTTTTGAAATATGATTCTTCTCTGTTTCTAGGGAAGCACGCTGAGAAAGCGGAAGATGTATGAGGAGTTCCTTAGCAAAGTGTCTATCTTAGGTGAGTTTCAGAAGATTTCATAGAGAATTGTGAATATGTGAAGGGTTAATGATGCTTAAGTAGAACTTACCATGTTTCCTAAAAATGACTCTGGGTATCTGAACTTGTAACTTTTGTTTGCTGATAGTACTAGGCAATCATAGAATCTTGACAGAGTCGAAGCTTTAAGTAAATAAGCAGTAATTGGGAACTGTTTAATTTGTATGTGAGAAACCTCTATATATGAGTTGCTGCTCAGTTCTTGAAGAGACAGACCGTTTCCGGTGTTCTCACTGGTTGTTCACAGTCAGACCCTCTGTCTGGAACTTGGGTCTCTGATGCTCATTGGATTGATTATATTAGTCCAGGAAAGAGTATTCAATAGAATGTGCATCCTCTGTGGGAAGATGAAGTGTTCTTTGGGGGCATGGTAAAATTCAAAATGCAAACGATGAATTGGAGAATTTTTGTGTATGTGAACTTGGAGATGTGAAAACCTGTTATTCATTGAATTGGAAGGGAAATGGCCATTTTTATAAGTCTTCTGCTTTTGTTTTGCTACAGTGAATTGTCATCCCTCCCTCCCCCCAATTGTCCTTCCTCTGGAATGGAAAATTACAGTATTAATCTTGTGTTCAGTAATTGTAGATTTGATTCGCACTGATGGCATTCTTTAGGGTTGCTTGCTTATATTCCCTACTCCTTTACCGCTGGTATAAACTAACCAGGTCCCTGGACTACTGAGTAAAAAGCCTCAGGATTATCTGTAGGTGACACGAGGTGACGAGGTTGGTGGTACTCAGAGACAGGTGACACGTTTCAGCACTGCTGGAGTTTTGAATGGGTTTGCTTTTTGGGTGACTCACTTCATACGTTTTTGTTTTGATGTTTTTAGCCACAGCAAATAATACAGAGATGTTCTGTGGATTCTTTCAGAATCTCTGGACAAGTGGGAACGTCTCACGGTAGCTGATGCATTGGAGCCAGTCCAGTTTGAAGATGGGCAGAAAATTGTGGTGCAGGGAGAACCTGGGGATGAATTCTTCATCATTTTAGAGGTAAAGTACCCACATTTGATACTTGGAAAGTGGCATTCCACACGAGGGAACTAGGTGGGTGAGTTCTTGCTGATCTTTAGACTACCTGACAGTTTCATTTAAAAAATAGGGTTGAAATGCTCTTGTTTGGCTCTCTGCATTTTAAATAGGGCTGGAAGTATAGCCAGACTAACCCTCACCACGTAGCCAAATGCCATCAGTTAGCCTAACCCTGGTGATTTACCATCTTTCTTCGTGCAGTGCAGATGTCTGAGTAAGGCAAATCAAGATCTAAAGTAGTAATAATTGAAAAGTTCTTGTGTGTTTTCTTTTGTTTTTTATCTTCCTAGTCCGTGGAAATGTGTAGCAGATATTCTTGCTGGCCGGTTAGATTTGGCTAGGAGATTTCTATGAATGTGGTTCAGTAGTTGCTTATCAATTTCTATGGGAACCAAGGATTGGGAGACTCAAGTTCTAGAAACCAAATCCATTGACACGAAGTTGATTCCGTCTCATAGGGACTCTGTAGGTATGTAAGGAAGGAGTCCTGGTAATGTAGTGGGTAATGTGTTGGGCTGCCAATCACAAGTCAGCAGTTCGAATCTACTAGCTGCTCTGTGGGAGAAGGGTGATTTCTGCTCCCATTCAGATTTGCAGCTTTAGAAGCCCTGTACGGTGTCACTATGAGTCAGAAGTGACTGCCCGGCACACCTCCGCCGCTTCTTGCCCCCTCAGAGCAGTTGGTGGATTTGAACTGCTAACCTTGTGATTAGAAGTACATTGCTTATCCTGCAGTGCCACCTGGGTTCCTGTGGTAGGTATTTTAGGCTCTGTGGGCCATCGTGTCTCCGCAGCATTGATTGTCAGATAATTACGGTGTAAAGGGTAGGAGCGGCCATACGTGGAGGGGGTTGGTGTAGGGAGTTTGGAATTGTTACAAAACCTGGCAGTGTGTTGGGTAGGCTTAGAGCTGCCTTTCACTGACCAGAGTCTGAACCCTAAGCAGACCTTTCCTTGGAGGGGGAAGGAAAGACCACACCGAAAGTATCTGAAGTATCTTAAGGTATTAAAAATGTCCTTTGAATCTGAACCGATTTTTGTTTGGTGACCTTGTTCCAGGGTTCAGCTGCTGTGCTCCAGCGTCGGTCAGAAAATGAAGAGTTTGTGGAAGTGGGAAGATTGGGGCCCTCCGATTACTTTGGTATGTGGGTTATCTCTCTGTAAACAGTTCTTTAGAAGCTCCTCTCAATAGGGAGAATCCCATAGCCTTTCACAATCCTGTTGTCTGGAGTAGTATTTTATTAAGGCATAGTTTACTTTGGTTTCAAGAGAAACAGCATGCTATTTTGACCTTTACTCACTGAGTTCACAGTTGGAAGTGCAGATGTGTCGTTGTCTGCACCAAGTGAACACTTGCCCTTCTTTCTCAGAAGGGAGAAGGCGGGTCTCCCTAGCAGCCAGCCTCCCTCACCCTCCCTGTGCCCTCTTGCAGGTGAGATCGCGCTGCTCATGAACCGTCCTCGTGCCGCCACAGTGGTCGCACGTGGCCCCTTGAAGTGTGTCAAGCTGGATCGACCCAGGTTCGAACGCGTGCTAGGCCCGTGCTCGGACATCCTCAAACGGAACATCCAGCAGTACAACAGTTTCGTGTCACTGTCCGTCTGAAATCTGCCTCCCTTTCTCCTCTCCCCATCAGTCCCTGCTTCACTCTCGCAGACGGCTTTCTTTCCCTCACTGCAGCCCAAGTGGCCACTGGTGTCACCGCTTCGTGTCTGTCCAGATGAAAGGTTGCTTTTCTTGCACCATTTTTAATTTGGAGCATCAAGTGAGTGCTCACACACAGTGAAATAAATAGAATGAGTCCGGAGCCCCGGCTATTTCTGCTTCTCTTTGTGCAGTGTTAGTGTTCGTTCTGGGCAGCAAGGCCGTGCTTTCTGCTGACGGTACATCCCGGCACCAAGGGACTGGGCAAGGGTCTTTTTTTTTTAATGACATAATTTTCCAGCTATAAGCTTATTTTAGACTGGCCATGTATGCTGTATTTCTTTATAGAGTAAATAATTTCTCATTAAGCTATAAGCAGTAGGAAAAATGGATCTAGAGCAGTTGAAAGACATTTGTCTGCCTGCATTTCAGCAGGAGGAGGGAAGAATGCCCGTTTTTGCAGATTGTCAAAAGGATGTGATCCACTCAGCTCTTTTTTAACTAGAGTTGTTGGTCAAGCTCATTTGCTTGGTTTTGTTTATATCTTATTATTTTTCTCTCCAGTTATTAAAGGTCATTACATGTAACTACTTATACATTTGTTTTAAGTTTGAAATCACATCTTAGCCTATGGTTTGGTTAGGATTTAACTGCATCTGCCTCTTCTCACAAATTCAGATTAGACATTTATCCAGCTAGTGCCAAATATTGATCACCAGATGCTGACTTGAGACTCAGATTTGAGGTCGACACTCTTGGTTGTTAACTTCGAGCTTTTGGCTTAATGGACGGACTTGACTCCAGTGTAGTCTCCTACACCCAGTAAACCCAGGTTCCAGGGGATCAGATGTTCTACAGGGAGAATTGTCAGATGGGCAAAAACTCAGTGTCAGGACCTTTTCCCCATTAAATTTATTGGGACTTGAAATTCAGGAAGAAGTTGTTTGATTTTTAACTCTTTCGCCTCCCTCCTTTTTCACAAGTTAGTTAGGACTTAGGGTGGGTTGAGGACTGGATGGCCTGTGTCGTTTTGACGTCCCCAAGACCATCCTTCAGAATGTCTGCTGCTTTTCTCCTCCCTAGCCGCAGTTGGTCCCTTACTCAGTTATTATTTTTTAGCGTAAATCATGATTGAGTCTTAACTGTGTTTCAGTATTCCCAGCCTTGTGTGTTGGATTATTCCACGTGCACCATGAGACCCAGCAATTGATTGGGTTATTGTTAGTTTTTGAAACCGAATCTCATGGTCCATAAGTGAGGCCCTTTGATTTGTTGTGATTTGTTGGGTGGGTGTTAGGAGTGCCTGCGGCATTTCCCCCACACGCTGGCTCTGTCACGCATCCCTCTGCTTACCTGCCGCAGGGCATTGGCACGGTCCCGGAGATGGTCAGATTTGAACCCTTCTTGGGTGGGCTCCATCTGAATGTGTGTATTCAGATACTTACATTTGGTTTTACATTTGGTAGAAAGTAAAGTGTGGGAAGGAAGTTTTAGTTAAACTTTAGTGTAGGACAGAAAGTCACCTTGTTAACAAATATTTTTATTTTTCAAAGTCTTTATTGAAGGAGGGTTTTCTGATCTGTACTTTGTGTTTTGCTGCCTTTTTTTATATTTGAAAAAAACTAAAAGTAAAAACTGTTGTTAGCTTAAAGCTTGATTTGATCTTTGTTTTAAATGCCAAAAATGTACTTAAATGAGTTACTTAGTATGCCATAAAATTGCACCGTTTGATAAATGTATATAATCATGTTCCTGTGTGTTTAGATACATATCATGTTTTCTAAATCGGTTTTAACCTTTAACTCATTTCGCTTGCTGTTTACTCCCTTTTGTAGTTTTTGATCTGAGACATTTTAAGATAAGTCTAAATTTAACAACTACTACATTTAAAGCTTAATCTGTGTGCAATCTTCAGTGTAAGTGAGGAATCAGAATTGGCATAGTTTGTCCTAGCTGATAGGGCTTTGGGACTTACTATTTCTGGGCTTGGTAAGTGCATTTATGAGCTCTCCTGCTCTAGAAAGTGTAGATGGCCAAAGGACCACTTTGTATTGTTCCCTAATGAACAGTCTGGTTGTACTGTACGTGCTGATAGAACCTGTCTTTTTGTTATAGAGTGTCTTAATGGTAGGTCAAATAAAAAAAAAAACAAAAATCAAGGTTACATCATTTAAATTCTTCAATGTAATCAATTTTTTCTCTTTCTCCTTTCTGTTTCTTCATGTCCTCCCCCCTTCTCACCCCCATTTCTACTCTGCTGGGTAAGAATGAGAAGTAAAGTTATGGGATTAATGTTTTAAAAGAATAATCTGTTGATTTCTAGTGATACCCAGTTTGCTTCTTGTTCAAAGTCTGGCTCTTGTGTAATTGGCATCTAAGATTATCGCTAGAGTTACATAAGGGAAAGATGAGGTCAGAAGCCCCAGATTTCCCTTGTATTGCAGATGTGACAGGCTCTGTCCCCTCGGAATGCTCTTAGACTCAAGGGGATGCCTTATGTCTGCAGTAGCTGACTTCGGTGTGAAGTTAGTACATGTATTCAGATACTTCCATTGGACGTAGAGAAAACCTGCTGCTGCTTATTGGTCAGATGGTTGAGATGTAGTTGTACTCACTGTATTCATAGTCCTATGTTTTCACATCCAGTGAGGCTAGAGATACTTGGTATTCTAGAAGCACGTTCAGCTGGGTCAGCATGTGCACCTTGTCCAGGTTTCGGGTTCCCTTTCTCCAGTCACCAGGTCTGGAAGCTAGAACCACAACAGCCTGACGAAACAGTCTGCTGGCCCTCTAGAACGGTGGCTCATGTAGAATCATTTTTTGAGTCTTGATGAGTCTTCAAGTATTGACATTTTGAAACCAGAGTAGCAAGATGTCAGTTTTAGTACTGCCGAATTTCTAGCAAGCCCCCTTTTGCGGTTTTTGTTGGCTCCGGCAGTGTGTTTGTACGTGGACTGAAAGGACCCGAAGGAACAGTGACTGGAGAACCAGCTTGGATACCCCCGAGGTACCTGACTTGGTAGGACCCAGGAAAGTGTGTGGGTAGGGGAATTTAAAAAGTGGAGGAATCTAAACTCCTTCCCCTCTTAGTGTATGGAATCTGTAGATAGGGAAACCGGCACTGTTGGGGGTCCATATACACCTCAGTGTGACTTCTGAGCTCCACCTGCAAACCAGCACACACACTACAGGAGTAAAACTGTGTCTGTCTGTGAAGTTTATGCCCAGGTAGCCTTTTAGAGTAGCTTTTAAAAGGCCCTGCTAGATGGACAGCTAGCTGTGCTATCTCGTTAATAAAAAAACAAACCAACGCCAGCCCACTGCCGTCCAGTCAGCTCCAACCTGTAACGCCCCCTGCAGGGTTTCCAAGGCTGTAAATCTGACAGGAGCAGACAGCCGCGTCTTCCTCATGAGCAGCTCCTGAGTATGAACTGTTGATCCTGTAGTTAGCAGCCCAATGCCTAACCCACAACGTCACCCGATATCAAAATTAGTGATTGTGTTTTGCGGTCTACTGCCCTCTGACTTTCTGTCTGCTCAGAGCAGCCTCATCTGTTGCCATGCCCGGCTTGCCTCTGTTTTTCCTGGAAGTTCCCTCTGATACTTCGGGGTGCCTAGTTTTTGATTCTTGACGTGGTGCTATACCAATGGATTCTTAATTCAGGCTTAAACAGTGTGAGTGTGTGCCCTTTTAGCTAATCCCTGCTCCCTGTTTCTTTTGTGATAACGTGTCTGATGGATGTGCATTAGTAATGTTTTTCTGTGAGAAGTCTCACTACCTTCTGTGTGTAAAGAACACCACCACTTTTATTTGGGGGCACTTGGGGACCCAGTCTATCACCACAGAAATGACTGGGGTTGAGAAGTGACTCTAAAATCAGTCAGTGGGAATATGGTATTCAGACAGGGCCACAGGACTGGGATAGTCAAGTAGACAGTGTACAGCCATCCTGAACGTTAGTGGCATACGTGATGGGTGTGCCTGCTTATGATGTGTCAGATGATGCTGATGGACCTGGACCAGGGATTCTCCTTTGACCTCTAGATGTGATGATGACCTGAAGGGCAGCCAGGTGTCCACTTGGTGCCTTTTGACTGTATTCAGTATGGTTAATGCTCTCCTCCTGGGAGCAGTGCTTCCAAGCTTCCAAGCCTGACCCCTGCCAGGTTCCCAGGGGGCCTAGAAGATATTCTGCAGCCTCGATGAAGCCATTGCCTTCTGGGAAAGAGAGCGTCCACTCTGGAAGCCATGCGCCAAGAAATAGGATCAGGGTCCCTGGGTGCCGCTTGTCTTTTGGGTGTAGAATAGGCCCGATGCCTAATGTCCTTTCTGAGCTTGGGACTCCTGCCTGCCAGCATCCGTACTGGAGGTGAGAAGTGGTCAGCTCTGGGGAGTCCACCGCTGCCTCCAGGTGTTTTCTGACATTTGACTCTTGCAGTCTCTATCTTGTCCACTTAGCTCTGCCAGAGTTGGGGGCTGAGGGCTCAGTGGGGCCACTGACCACAACCCTGGCTTCCCCGTGGGCCTTTAGGCACGTGTCCACAGCCTCGAGGACCCTGTGGAGCCTCCGGTCCAGGGCCAGGAGGTGGGGCTCTGTGAGGACAGGGCTGAGCTGGTCGTCTAGCAGTGACTCCCGCATCACGTCACTGAGTCTGTAGTCGGCCTGGGCCAGCAGCTGCAGGTGCAGTAGTGTCTTCTTTTTGATCCTGAGAGAACAAGGCGGGGAGGATCACGTGAGCAAATGTAAATATGACACGGCCATGCTGGGCAGTTCAGAGCACCTTCTCCCCAACATCTGCACAGCCACACTAATGAAAAGGACTGCCAGGGTCCCGGGACTTGGCAGTGCTCTATCCCACTGCCTTTCGGTCACCGTAATCATTGGGATGTCATAGTTAAGCGCTGGGCCAAATACGAGGAGGCTTTAAAAGTTGGTGGAAAATGGAATGAAATGATAGCATTTTTTCACCCCCTCATGCCCTGGCTAAGGGACTAACTGCTAAGGGAATCCGAAAAGGAAGTGATGCATGGATTCCCCAGAGAGACGGCACCCAGATGTCCTCCAGTAGGTGAGGTGACTTGCTGCCATCTCCACAGCTTTTGAGTACTGTGTACAGTCAAAGGGGCCAACCTCCTGTGGGAATGTGACTTGGACTCACTGAATTGTCCATCTACTCACAACACCGACTGTCTGCCCTACCCAGGTGAGGAGGACGAAGGGAGGCCAACAGGGAAAGAGGTGTGTTTAGAACCTAACAGTGTGATTAAGGACATGCATGCTGTGCTCTGCGTTTTCCACTGGGAAGGAATGCTAGGTGTGAATCGAAGACTGCCACTGAGCAGTGGGGCATTGTACAAGCCTGGCTGCATCCCCACAGAGGGGAAGAAGTAGGCCAAGCAAAGGCTGTAGTGCTCCTGTTGTGTTTTGGTGAGAATCTAGGGATATGAGCTGTTGGGAGTGCTGAGTGAACTAGGGCTCTGATACATCATATCAGACTGGCGAGTTCTGTAGAAGAGAGTGAGTGTCTAGGCTCGAGATTAAAGTTGACGAGTGAAAGGTTTAAAAGCTTAGATTCTAGTTCATCTTGCTGAAGGATGACAACGTCTAAGCGATGTTGGTGGGGAAAATTGTCATCGTATCAAAGATGAGGTCTTTATGCCATACCTCTACCCACCCATCACCTCCAGCAAGGAAAACCCGACACCCTTCAGAACTTGGTTGCAGGTGGGATGGGGTATCAAATGCCACGGCTATGAACTGCCCTTAAATTTAGAACTTACAGGCAACATTGGGAGAGAGGGGAGAGGATGGAGACTTCATCATGGGAGTGTCGTCCAAACCTAGGAAAAGAAACAGGTGCTCATGGGAGGCCAAGCCATCATCTCTCCTCACTAGTTTCTCTCCACTTGAGCCTTCTTTTGAATCACACCTCCAGGTAGAATGCCAGCAGACAGCATGGCAGCTGACTCCCACCCTCCCTTTCCTAAACCAGGTGGCCAAGGACTGCCCAGACATGCGAACACTAAGAGTCAAATCCGACTCTTAGTGAGCCTGTAGTACAGAGCAGAGGGAGCTCTGGTAGCGTAGTGGTTACGAATCGGGCTGCGAACCGCAAGGTTAGCAGTTCAAAACTACCAACTGTTATGTGGGAGAAAGATGAGGCTTTCTGCTCCCGTAAAGATTTACAGCCTTGGAAACCCTATACAGGGTCGCTATGAGTCGGAACCGACTCCACGGCACATGACAACAACAATACAAAGTAGAATGTCCCATAGGATTCTTTCTCCAGCAGGGGGACTGGTGGGTTTGAACTGTCGACCTTTCAGTTAGCAGCTGAGTGAGGTCTGTACCACCAGGACTCCACCAAAGCTGTAAAACTAGACAGTTCCTCTGATCAGTCACTCGTTCATTGACTCGGTCATGCGCGCTGTGTCCAGGTGCAGTAAACAGCTGGAGAAGCCCTCCATGACTTGTTGGGTGGAGGGGAATCACGTGGTACTTAAAGCTCAAGAGGAAAAGAGAAAAGGCGAGATGGGATGTGGCAGTGGAGGCGCTTCAGTCTGGGGCCTTGGCTACCCCCAAGCAGCTGCACAACACGGTCAGGAGAGGGGAATGCTGGGACACGGGTGTCGCGCTTACCCTCTGGCATTGTCAAGATGAATAAGAAACCCGTCATCTCCAAACTTGGTGAACATCTCATAGTGATGGCGGTCCATGTTTCCTGGAAAGAAGTGGGGGAGGACATGGGAGCCAGGGCTGACCCCGGTGGGCACTTCAAGTGGGGTTGCTTTTTCTCAGGCCTTAAATGGATGAGTAGTATGGGTGAGGGAGCAATCGAGGCTGACCCTGCAGCTTGGACCTGTGCCACTGCTGAGCCTGTGGGAGAGGAGGACCAGCCAGTCCTCATGATGGGGGCTGTGTCCCAAGCCCAGGAACCCACCTATGAGGAAGTCGAAGATGGCCATGTCGATGATGTGGAGGAGCCGGCTGCTGCTGTTGTATGGGTAGACCTGTCTCACTGTATCGCAGTAAAGCGGGTTGACCTCCCACCTGAGGGTGAGAAGAAGGCCTGAGGCTGGAAAAACCAAGATGACAAGGTGTTGGGGCCTTCCCCTGGGTCTGCTCGGGAGGACCCTGGGGGAAGACGAGGGCTGCAGATTCCTTCTGGTAAGAAGGTTCTGGGCTCTTTGTAGCATCTGTTGCGTGCTGGGTGTCCTACGGCTGGAGGGGAGGTGGGGCAGGCTTTATCCTGCACACGGTTCTCTGCCTGAAATGATCCCCCTCGACCTCTGGTTGGTTGTTAGTTGGTGCTTAGGATTAGGTATGCCTCGGGGTGTTATTCCCTGATTACTTGTCTTCCCCCCACAAGCCAGGACTGATTGAGCACCTACTATGTGCCAGGAGCTATGGCCGCAATAAGCCTCCTGGGGCTTACTTAGGTGAACCAGCTCTCTTTTGAGATGACCTGCTTCACCAGACCTAAAGGTTCTTGGGGGTGGAGTCTATTACACCTTTACCTACAAACACCTAGTGTGGGGTACACAGTAGGCTCTTTACAACTGGAAAAAGGAACCAAAGGGAAAGAACAGACTAGCCAGCTGGGCCTAGATTACTATGAGGTATGACAAACGGACTGGGGCAGCTTTGGGGTCCAAAGGCCAGGTTAGCTGCAGGCCTGTGGGACAGCACCTGGTTACTCAGGACTGGACGTCAGGCCCAGGAGTGTGGTGGCCTAGCCGGGAAGTAGACTCACTCTTCTTTTCCTCCCAGCGAGTAGGAGCGGATCCAGGGGTTGGGCACAGACAGTCTGGGGGCCAGGTTGAGAGATGGCAGGTACGCGGAGAGGGAGCCTTCCAGCATGTGAGGGTTGCCGCAGACGGCGTACTCGGTCTTGCACATGTACGGACATTTGGCGAAGAAGCACACGTTGCTAGCTAGAGGATGGGAGGAGAAAGGAAAAAGCTTTACAGGGTGTCACTGTCCTGCCCCAGCCAATTCGGGAGGAAAAAGAGACCCTGAACACACGTGGGGAGGGTCACTTCCTCCAGGTGCAGGAGCTGGGCAATGCTCAGAGCTAAGCATCTTGGGCCCCAGTTTTCAAAGTGCGCTGTAGGATAAGCACTAAACTGCTAACCATGGGATTCAAACCCACCAGCCACTCCTTGGAAACCCTATACAGGGTCACTATGAGTCAGAACCGACTCAACACTTAACACAGAAGCACAGAGGAAGGTGGGCATAGCCTCACTGTGTCCTAGCTGTGGGACTATAGAGTTCCTGGTTACCTTTGATGGGTTAACGTCTGATTCCAGGGAGTCTAGCATTGTAGGGTCAAGGCCCATCCAGGTTAGCTAGCATCTAACTAACTAAAAGGTTAGCAACCTTTTTCCCCATTCACAGTTCACCTTGTCTTATGCTGGGAATAGATGATGACCACATCCATCCATCCCCTGAATGCATCTCCCAACCTTGGTCCCACTGATGGGTCAGACCCTGGTAGGGCATGCTGGCTACCATGTCTTCTGACCTGGAATGTTAACTTTGGCTGGAAGTTTACCTGGAGACACAAAGAAAACACTCTGCAGGATTTCATTCTTGGTGACGTCCAGGACTTCCTTGGTGACATTCACTAACCTCCCTGCTGTGGGTGGCACCCGTCGGAAGTCCAGGACCCTGGAAGACAGATGGGAGGGATGGTTCTGTCCCCAGACCAGGGCACATTTGAAACGGGCTGGTGTCTCTGACCAGCAGGGTGGCTGCTGAGGAGTCTCTGCAAGATTGAGCTGCGAGTACCCAGGGTAATGTACGGGGATGGAATGCCAAGTCTATAATGCTTCCTGGGTAAACCTTGCCCCATCCAAGCAAAGTCAACACATGTCATTTTAATGGGCATAGAAGCCACCTGAGACAGAAATGACCATAGTCCACAGACTGTACTTTGAGTAGCAATGATGCGCTGATAGGATGGACTAGGAAGTTTGGGTATTTGCTTTCACCACTAAACCTCCTAATCGTTAAAAGACTGCTTGGATAAAATGGGAGTGGGTGCATTCTCCCCATTTTCAGATCAGGAGGCTGAAACAAAGGAGGCAAGCTGACCAGGGTGGTAAAGTTAATTTCTTTGTAAGTTACTCTTCATGATGCGAAAAGACCTCGTGTTTCTCAATCTGAGGGGTCGGATGAGACAAGCTGGGCGTGAAGGTATCATCACAGGGGCTTGAAGAAGACAGAGTCAGAAGGAAGAGATGCCCTCAACCTGGATTGGCCCTTACCAATCAGCATCATCTCAGTGGGGCCAAATGGAACCTTACCTGTCCAGGTGGAACGCTGCAATCTCAGCATTGTGTCGCTGGAAGTCAATGAAATAGAAGAAGTCTGCGGGCGTCTCCTCATCTCTCTGCTGTCTGGAAGGCAGGCAGGAATCACGCCCTGGACTCAGACCTCAGTGAGAAGAGAGCTGATAACATGACCAGAGAGAACCGGACAAAAGGCCTCTGTGTTTCTGTATGGGGACAGACGGGGGGCCAGCGAATCCAGAATGGCTTGCGCTTCCAATGACCAAGAACAGATGATACACAATAGAAAAGCTGGGTGTCTTGTAGTGACATGCTGTCACGTTGCTTGTGACTCCTGGTGACTCACATAACAGAATCGATGCCCAAGGAGTGGCTGGTAGGTTTGAACCACTAGCCTTGCCATCAGCAATCCAGCGCTTATTCTACAGTGCCACGCCACGAAGACACTGAGCCATGGAGAGGGGACCCAGCCAGAGGATAAAGGGAGACTGCTGTAGAGAATATTGATATACATTTGGAAGTCTCCAGCAGATCCCTTGAAAAGCATCACCGTGCTTGAGTATGTGTGTTCTAGAATGTACCCTTCCATCTCGTGAAGCTTCCGGCCTCAAGGCTGATGCTAATGCCCACAGACGAATGAGGAGTTTGAATCGTTGCAGAAGCCACCGTGTGAGACTGAATTGCACTTGCAAAAGCAGTTTAAGCATCCAAGGGTATGTAAATGTCGTGTGGAGAACTAAACAACCAGGAGCCCTGGGAGCACTGTGGGTTGGGCACTGGGTTGGTAACTTCAAGGTTGGCAGTCAAAGCCTTCAGTGGTGCTTAGGAAGACAGATGAGGCTGGCTGATTCTGTGAAGAGCTCAGAAACCTCTATAGGAGTCAGAATCAAGTTGATGTCAGTGAGCTTGGTTTTCAGTTTAGCCACTGACAGTGATAGGCACTCGGCCAATAAAACACCAGCCAGCCCTGGAAACCAGAGAGGCCCTGCCCAAACTAAGGGTTCTATTTTCAAAGGTACAGCCAGCCTCTTTCACTGGACTGCCCCTCCTAGCTCAGCTGATCTAACTAGCATTATCCTTAGAAAAGAACCAACAGATCTGTGTTGGAAGAAGTACATTCAGCATGCTCCTTGGAAGCCAGGATGGCCAGACTTTGTCTCTCATGTTTTAGACATATTATTGGGAGGGACCAGTCCCTGGATCAGGACATCATGCTTGGTAAAGTGGAGGGTCAGCAGAAAAGAGGAAGACCCTCAGTGAGATGGATTGGCACAGTGGCAGCAGCCTGGGGCTCAAGCGTAGCAGCGATTCAGAGGTTGGCAGAGGACTGGGCAGTGTTTTGTTCTGTTGTGCATAGGGTCCCTGTGAGTTGGCATCTAACCACCACAACAACAAGGCCTAAGGATAAGCACTGGACTGGTAATCACAAGGTCAGAGGTTCAAACCCATCAACTGCTCCTTGAAAACTATACAGGGTCTCTATGAGTCAGAACTGACTTGATGGCTCTTTACAAAAAACAACAAGGCCTGTCAACCTCCTTTCGTAAAGTCGGAATGCACACTCAAGGTTTCCCAGTCTTAAATCCAGATTCCTTCCATCTGAATGGGTGACACTTTAGAGGTTTCTAAAACTTCGTCTCCGAAAGGTCAGCAGTTGGAACCAACCTGAAGGCACATCAAAAGACAAGCGTGGCCACCTGCTACCTAAGGGTCACAGACTCAGAAACTACTGGAGCAGCTCTAGCCTGAACCACATGGGGTCGCCATGAGTTGCGACTGACATAATATTTAAAGTATATAATCTTTAATTATAGGAGGAGGCTTCAAAAAGTTCATGGAAAAATGGAATTGAAACATAACTGGACTTTTTCCAAGAACTTTTTGAAGCTTCCTCATACTCAGGATGCATATTTTCCAAATACAGCTTTCTAATGTCTTTCTTAATAAAGAACAAACACTGATTGCTTTAAATTATGTATAGAGAAAAAAGCCACATGATTTTTCAAGGCAAACATTGTAAAATGATACTATGTTTGGTTTGGGGTTAAATTTTATAAAAATAGAGATTAAACCTTGTCTCCTTGTATGCTGTTTGCTGTTAAGTGCTGTTGAGTCAGTTCCGACTCATAGCAACCGTGTATAGGGTTTCCTAGGAGCAGCAGCTGGTGGGTTTGAACTAGTGACCTTGTTGTTAGCAACCGAGTGTTTATCTTACAGTGACACACCAGGTCTTACAGGTAAATTTACTATGTGACTACAATGGAAAATTTTGCATTATGCTCATATTTCAAAAAAGAAAAATACCCCACTGGTTAATTTTAGTTATTATTGTATCTTGTTGCTAATTGGCTAGAGAAGAGGTTTTAAGCTGTTTAAATATTTTCTGCAGATAAAACAAGGTAGCTATGAGTCATTTTTCTTCCTCAATACAAAGGAGCTCTGGTAGCGTAGTGGTTACGAAACTACCAGCTATTCCGTGGGAGAAAGATGAGGCTTTCTGCACCTGTAAAGATTTACAGCCTCAGAAACCGTGTACCGGGTCACTATGAGTCGGAACTGACTCCATGGCACACCACTACCACCTTACCTACTCTGATTATTTTATAAGATTGTTGTTAAGTGCCGTCGAGTCTGTTCTGACGCATAGCGACCCTACATAGGGTTTCCGAGGAGCAGCTGGTGAGCTTGAACTGCCGACCTTGCCATTCAAACCAACTTTGCAGTCCAGCGCATTAACCCACAACGCCACACCAGGACTTCATTTTATAAGATTGTTGTTGTTGTAAAGTGTCGTCGAGTCGATTCCGACCCATAGTGACTCTGTAAGGGTTTCCGAGGAGCAGCTGGTGAGCTTGAACCGCCAACCTTGCAGTTCAAACGGCTTTGCAGTCTGATGCAGTAACCCACAGCCCCACACCAGGACTCCTTTTATAAGATTGTTGTTGTTGTTAAGTGCCATTGAGTTGATTCTGACCCATAGTGACCCTGTATAGGGTTTCCAAGGAGCAGCTGGTGAGCTTGAACTACCGACCTTGCAGTTCAAACGACTTTGCAGTCTGACGCATTAGCCCACAGCGCCACCCCAGGACTCGCTTTATAAGATTAGAAACACTATAATGTTTGGATATAGGAGGGACTACTAGAAGAATGAACAAAGCTATCTTGAAAGAAGTACAGCCTTAGAAACCAGGATGGTGCTGAGGCTTTGTCCCAAGCACATAATATCAGGAGGGACCAGTCCCTGGAGAAGGACAGCATGCTTGGGAATGTAGAGGGTCTGCAGAGAAGAGGAAGACCCCTGACGAGATGGACCGACACAATGGCTGAAACAGTGGGCTCAAACGTAACAACTATGAGGAAACTAGGGCCCAGCAGTGTTCCAGTCTGTCGTGCATAGCATCTCGATGTGTTGGAACTGACTCCATGGCACAGAACGGCAGTAACAATGTGTGTCTAGATTCCTGGATGATGCAAGCAGTTTGCACTGAACCATTAACCTATGGGTTGATAGTTGAAACCTACGCAGCAGTGTTTCAAAAGGTCTGTCAATCTGCTTTCGTAAATATTAGTCATGAATACCCTATGGAGCAGTTCTGCCTGCAGCACGTGATAGCACGCTACCCTCAGTCTGATTCAACTTGGCAGTACTGAGTTCCTTTATTGTTTTGTTTTGTTTTTTCTTTTGTAATAAGGAGCTCTGGTAGCATACTGGTTATGAATTGGGCTGTGAACCTCAAGGTCAGCAGTTCGAAACTACCAGCTGTTCCACGGGAGAAAGATGAGGCTTTCTGTTCCCGTAAAGATTTACAGCCTTGGAAACCCTGTACAGGGGTCGCTATGAGTCGGAACCAACTCCACGGCACATAACAACAACAACAATGGGCCACATAAGAATTTGACTGAAAGAATGCAATTTTTGGATTTGGTGGGTGGTGGTGAGGAAGGTGGTCACTTACCTCATGGGTTTGAACATGGCCTTCCCGAAATCCGAGAACCTCAACACCAGCTTCAGGTGGACGCCGCTGGGTTTCACAACTGGGTAGGGAAAGAGGGCACGTTAAAGATGCTTCTGGACTCAGGCTCATGGTTGTGACCCTTCCTTCATCCAGCAAACCCAGCTGACTTCCTCTCTTCCTCTTATTTAATAAAACCCTAAAGACAAGGTGTTAGGATTTGTTGTTCAAAGCCTGTGAGGTAATATCTATGGTGCTAGGCTATGGAGTGTGGGTCTGCGGGCTCCATAGTCCTTTACTTGCTGTGGTGATAACAGGACATAGAGCATCTTGTCCCCAAGGACCGCTCCCTGAGGAACTGACCCCTACATAGGCACACCCGCAGATTCTGGTTAGACCATCTGGTTCTGTTCTATGAAGCTGATTTGCTTATCTGTATCTGGTGTGGCGCTGTGGTTAATGCACTGGACTGCAAAGCCAGTTTGAACTGCAAGGTCAGCGGTTCAAGCTCACCAGTCGCTCCTCAGAAACCCTATACAGGGGTGCTATCGGTCGGAACCGACTTGACAGCACTTAAAAGCAACAACTCCTGATTTAATGAGTCCTGGTGTGGCGCTGTAGAATCAGCACTGGACTGCAAACCACAAGGTCAACAGTTCAAACCTACCAGCTGCTCCTTGGAAACCCTATACGAGGTCTCTATGAGTTGGAACCGACTCGACGACACTTAATTACAGCAACAAAAAGAGGGCAATGGGGGTGCACATGCACAAGCTCCCCCCTGAAACAGAATGTCTCTTGTCTCCCCTGTCCCGGACCTGCTGTGAGCCTGTGCCTTTTCATTCCATAAAGTGGCAGATGTCTGGTGCTTGACTAAAGGAAGCCCTGGGGTGGTACAGATGGTTTACACACTCGGCTGCCAGTGGAAAGGTCAGACGTTCAAGTCCACCAATAGGTGCCCTGGCGGTCCACCTCTGAAAACCCTATGGAGTACAGCTCTCCTGTGACACATACGGGGTCACCATGAGACAGAGTTCACAACACGGCAACCGGTTTGACTAAAGCAAAGGGAAGTCCCTGGGCCCCGCGTCCCCTTGCAGACCTCTGTCATACCATATCCCATGTAGAAATTCCACACATGGGCTCAATGGGTGCGGCTGCTCACGGCCAGCCATGAGGGACTGATGCTGGCCTGACTACTCTGGTGCCGGGAACGTTAATGCCCAGGCTTGCTCCTATTACCCTTCCAGCCCCCTGGGCCGGGGAACTCTGCCTTACCTTACCCCTATCTTGTTCAGTTCTGTTAATCATCTACAGAAGTGGGGTTCCACCTTGGTTGCATTAGAAGTCCCGGGCCTTACCTGTGCAGTTGAGGCAAATACTCTGGAGGTACAGGTACATGCTAGAGCTCCCAGGTGATTCTAATTAATAGTCAGGGGTGTCAACCACCGCCTTGTACAATGGCTTCTTGAATTTGAAATTGTGTTCCAATCACTTGGGGGTTTGGTGAAAGGGCAGATTTCTGAGTGGGAAAGCAGAGGTGGGAAACAGGGTTCTGCGTTTCTAATAAGCTGCTGATAGGCAGGTGAGGCTGACCTGTGCCAAGCTGATGCTTTTCCTCCCTATCGGTGGGTGGGAAACAACACGGGTAATCCTGGGGAAAGGCAGAGTCATGGCCCACCCCCCACTAGATGGGTGCTGGCTCCGGACGTTGCTGCCAGCTTTGGGGATCACGTGGCTGTGACGGTGAGGGAGTACTTACTCTGGGTACAGTCACATGCCCCGAGCAAGGCTTTCTCGTCCTGGCTGTAATCTGTGAAGGCGAAGGACAAATGAGAGTACCCAGCCAGCCACCCAGGGCCCTGGACTTGGGGGCAAGCCCAGGGACGGATGCCGTAGGGTGGCTGGGGACCCTGGATTGCACAGTTAGAGCCTCCTGGAACTCCAGTTGGCTGTTGTCTCCAGCCTGCTTCCTCCTAGGCCCCACACCCACTGGACCAACTGTAGACACACCCTGACCGGAGAGATGCTCATTTTCCTGGTGTGGCGCTGTAGGATAAGACTACAAGATCGATTTGAACTACAAGGTGGTGGTTCAAATCCACCAGCCCCTCCTTGGAAACCCTCTTACAGGGTCAGTATGAGTTGGAACTGACTTAATGACATTGAATAACAATCGCTTAGTCTGTCATAGTGCATGGCAGCATGATCTGGAGTCAGCAGGCCTGTACTGGAACCTTAGCGACACCACTGGGCCCAAGTGAAGTTACTTGGCCTCTCTGAGTCTCAGTTTTCCCATCAACAAAATGGCACTGATTCTGCCTACACCTTAAGATCACCATACAAGAGAAAATGCATGGCCGTGTTCAAAAGAAACCAGTAAAAAACCAATTGCTGTTGAGAAGAATTTGTCTCATGGTAAGCCTATGTGTGCTGGTAGCCAAGAGGCTGGCGGTTTAAATCCACGCAGAGGGACCTCGGAAGAAAGACCAGGAGATCTGCTTCTGAAAAAGCCACCACTGAAAACCCTGTGGAGCACAGTTCTACTCTAACACACATGAGGTTGCTATATGCAAAAGAAGTCAAAACGTAGCACTCACTGGCATTAAGTGTGTACAGAATACCTGCTTATGCCTCCCTTATGGAGTTGTGATGTGCTTCTAATTGCAGGATCGCTTTAAATGGAAATAATAATAATTATGATCCCATCTATGAAGGATCAGAGTATTCCACAGCCTCTCCAGGAAGACCACAAGCCTGATCTGGGAGCCTCACCGGCACTGATGGTGGGAAAGCCCCGCATGTCCTGGAGAAGTTGGCTGACGATGGGGCTAGACCGTGAATACAGCCCATGTCGGTTGATGCCCAGGTGGAACTGGACCCAGCTGGCTTCAGGCCGGAGCTGCAGCGGGGGTTCCAGGGACGTGAGGTTCAGCTGCTGTCGGTACATCTTGTGTCGTCTGAAAGAGCAGGAAGAGGTTTCTGAGTGGGGGGACACCACCTGCCTGGGTCACTGGTATGGACTATGTATGTACCTGGTAGGTACCAGGCTTTATGCCGCCTGGAATTCCTGGGTGGGGCACCTGGCTGCTAATCGGAAGGTTGGTGGTTTGAATCCACCCAGAAGCACTTTGGAAGAAAGACCTGAGTATGTACTTCCGGAGAACCCTAAGGAGCATAGCGTTTGCTCAGTGAGTCTTCTAGAACCACCATCTCTTCCTCTCTGTTACTTAAGCCTTGATTCTGAAAATAGCCAATTGGGAAGAAAGACTTGGTGATGTTAAAATTCCAGATGGTGACACTAAACATCATGGCATACCAGGTAGAGGAGATACAAACAAGGAGCTTCTGATCAAAGAAGCACCTGTAAGCAAGACCAAGACCAACCATCTCAGCATTGGAAGGAACCTGGAAGGCCATCAAACTCAACCTCCCAGCCTCCCCATAGCATCCCCACTAAGGAGTAGCCTGTTGGATCCTTGAACAATGAAGGGAACACTCCCCATCCAAAATAGCTCCATCAATCAGTCCAGCTCCAACTATTGGGAAGCTCGTTTCAACACTGAAAGCAAAAATCCTCACAAAGGGACCAATAAATAACATCATGATAAATGGAGAAAAGGTTGAAGTTATTAAAGACTTCATTTTGCTTGGATCCACAATCAAGGCTTAGGGAAGCAGCAGTCAAGAAATCAAATGATGTGGTATTGCATTAAGCAAATCGACTGTAAAAGACCTCTTTAAAGTATTAAGAATCAAAGATGTTAGTTTGAGGACTATGGTGTGCCTGACCCAAGCCATGGTATTTTCAATCACCTTACATACATGTGAAAGTTGAACAATGAATAAGGAAGGCCATGGAAGAATTGATGCATTTGAATTATGGTGTTGGAGAAGAATATTGGAAGTACCATGGACGTCTTCCACTGGAAGACGTGCAGGCCAGAGTGTTCCTTTGAAGGGAGGAGGGTGAGCTTGGTTTTCCATACTTTGGACATGCTATTGTGAGGGACCAGTCCTTGCAGAAGGACATTACACTTGGTAAAGTGCAGGGTCAGAAAAAACCAGATGGATTGACACAGTAGTAGCAGTCAGGGACTCAAACATAATTACTGTGACCAGTTACTGTTTCGTTCCCTTGTGCATAGTGTCCACTATGAGTTGGAACCGACTCGACAGCATCCAATAACTGATAACAACAACGCTCAGAAGGCAGGAAGGGCTTAGAAAGGATGGATGGGAGACCATCAGCATAGGTTGGAAGTAGGGAAAATATTACATTGTGGGGTCTACAGTCAACGTTAGAAAACAAAATGCGTGTCAAATGTTGAATGGAAGAAAACCAATTAGCTTTATAAATTGTCACCCAAATCACACACACACATACACACAGAGACTTAAAGTCCAAACAATAATAATTTAACTACAAACCAAAACACAACCCTCTGCTGACCAAGCAATCCCATCAAACAATGGGCAGCCAGTGTGTGTCCTTTGCCTTCTGTGGGTAAAGCAACTTGTCAGAATGTGGTCATATTGAGACATTGTCCCCACAAAGCTCCCACAGACATATGTGAACAGAAGAGCCAAGTGACAGCAAAGGGGAGACAGTCTATTATTTGAAGAGTTTGGTTTCATGGGTAGTAGAAAGAAAGATGCCTGGCACTTCTCCCTTGAGAGAGAAAGCTCTGGAACAGTCTTCCGCCTTAGGGGTGTGGTAAGAGATGTCAGGTAAGACTGGAGCGTATCCCGCCTCAAAAGGTCAACAGCAAGCCCATGCATCCAGGGGCCCCCTCCCCACCCAGGGAAAATGTGTACTCTTGATAAAATTATTTCAAGTTGCTTCAGATGATGACGAAGGACAAATGGCTGACCAGGTCTGTGGGTCCACTGCCAGCTTTTCCTGCCTTGATTAACATCGATTTTTATTTTTAAAAGCTGTTGGGCCAGGCTCCAGTTCCCAGGGCTACGCTAGGATGAAACTATGACAGCTAAAGTCCCCTGGGAGTCTGGGGGAGGGAGTGGAATGTCCTTAGCTCCACTAGTCACCCTGAACTGAAGCAGCCGGAGAACTCACCCTGGCTGAGCTGGGCTTGGGGAGAGGGCGGAAAGGAAGCTGAAAACTTTCTCTGTGGAGCTGGGAGTTCATGGTCCCAGCCAAGAGCTGGAGAGGCAGCATCCAAATGGAAAACAAAGGTTGCAAATTGAATGTAACTTCTGGACCTGGACCAATTGCTCTAGAAAACTTTCACATTTAGTGTCTGGTAGAGACATGGGCTTCCTAGTTTGCTAGTCTGCCCTTAAGGAGCCCTGGTAGCACAGCGGTTAAGTGCTCAGCTGCCCAAAAGTCGGCAGTTGGAACCTACCAGTCGCTCTGTGGGAGAACAATGTGACAGTTTGCTTCCGTAAAGATGGTTGGTTATCATTAAGTGCCATGGAGTCGATCCTGACTCATAGCAACCCTGTATAGGGGTGACAAGGAGCAGTTGGTAAGTTTGAACTGCCAACCTTACATCCAGTGTTCATCCTACAACACCTTGGAAACCCTAGGGGGTAGTTGTATTCTGTCAGAGCCAGGGTCTTAACTCTCCTTGACCCAGGAAAGGAGAAGAGAAAAAGGCCCTCAGCATTTCCTTTCATTGGCCTTTCAATGGTTAAGGCAGAGCTGTGAAGAATATATTTCTTGTCAGAAAGCTTGCCTAACATGACAGTCTCCTTTGCTTCTAGGGACTCCCCATAGGTCTTGCAGGCAGTTAACATGGTTACTCACCAGAAAATGAGGGGTTTGAGCCCACCCAGAAGAGCCTGGGAAGAAAGGCTTAGTAGTCTGCATCTGTAGGTGACAGGCCTGAAAGCTGGGGGCACAGTTCCCTTCTGACACCATGAGTTGGGATTGATGCCACAGCAACTCATTTGGTGTTGGTGGGCTGCTTCTGGAGAAGTCTGTGGGGGTGCAAATCGTGAATGCTCTTTACTGCTCGCTGGAAGCTTGCAGGTCCCCGTGAGCAGGGCTGGGTTTCCGTCCCAACCTTCTAATGTGTCACACATTGCATGGGCTTTGGGAGGCCAATCCTGGTGTGGCACTGTGGGCTAATGAGTCAGATTGCAAAGTCGGTTTGAACTGCAAGGTTGGTGGTTCCAGCTCACCAGCTGCTCCATGGAAACACGATGCAGGGTCGCTATGGGGCAGAATTGACTCGACGCACTTAACAACAGGCAGCACACAGGAGTGAGGAAGGCAGTCTGAAAGGCAATCCAGATGGTTGTGGCGTGTGTCAAAGTGGGGAGCATACCACACAGCCCATCCCAGGGGGGACGGAGCCTGGCCCTCTCATCTGGTGCGCGGGACCCATACAGGACTGCGAGGGACTTGTTCACAACTATCAGAACTTGAATTTTCAAAACGTATTTATTTTTCAAACAAAACCATTTCCCTAATCTTACCTTACCCGTGGGACAACATGACTGGTACTTTTCTTAATTATCTTTCATGATCACACAGGGCCTCATTAAACCCTTATTGCCTCTTCAGACCAACATAGAGTTATTTATTTATCGTTCCTTTCTTGTTGGTAAGTGCCATCGAGTCAGTTCTGACTCATAGTATAAGGAAACCTGTATAAGGTTTCCATGGAGCGGCTGGTGGGTTTGAACCACCAACCTTGCAGTGAGCTCAGTGCTGATCCTACAGTGCCACACCAAGATATTCCTAAATCACTCTAAATCTTTTTTTTTTTTTTTTTAAATATTTTATTGTGAATTATGTGATAGTTTACATGGGAGAACGTTAGCTTTACATTCATCCTATCGTATATATCGTTTCATTGCCATGGTTACAATCCTCTCCATGCATCATCAACCAACCAAAGGGTATACCCTGCAAGCCTGACCCCTGGTCGTCAGCACACAGCCTCTCTCCCTCTCTGTGTCTAAAATCCCCAGCCACTCCATCTCTCCATGTCATTATCTCTGCTTCCATCTCAGGCATCACTGCTTCTCTGGGTAGGGTCCCGCTCTCTGCTCTTCTCCCTTGATGGTCCCAGGGACCTCCGCTCCTAGACTGCAAAGTCAGTCACTCCCCTCCTTTTGCTATAAAACATTCACCTTTACATTTCCAACCCTCACAGTCTGTCCTGATCACAATTATTCACTATTGTATTGTTGTTGTTGTGAAGTGCTGTCAAGTCGGTTCTGACCCTTAGCAACCCTGTATAGGGTTTCCAAGCAGCAGCTGGTGAGCTTGAACCACCGACCTTGCAGTTCAAACGGCGTTGTAGTCTGGCGCATTAATCCACAGCGCCACACCAGGACTCCATTCACTATTGTACCACATCTACATCTTTTTCTTGATGTGTTTCTAGGACACCAGTCCATTTCGGTAGGAATTATCACCTACAGAACTTCTTCTGAGGTGTGTCCATCTTCAGCATCATCCTTTCCTTGGCTCTCCCAGACGAAGAATGCTGTTGAATCCATTCCAACTCATGGAGAGCCCGTGTGTGCAGAGCAGAACCACTGCACAGAGTCTTCAAACCTGTGACCTTGAGGTACATCACCAGGCCTTTCTCCTTAGGTGTCTCTGGGTAGGCCCGAACTACCAACTTTTGGCTAGTTGTCGAGCACTGAACTGTTTTTGTCTTTGGTGATAGTGGTGGAAATGACGAGGTTTTACCCCTGCTGAGAGTGGCGCAGGAACTATCCTGAGTGGTACTGTAGAAAAAGGAATAGGGGTTTTGTGTCACCAAGACCTAGTTCTGCCCCTTATCAGTGGGGTGACCTCAAGGACAGTGCTAGGTGCTACTGCTGTATACAGCGTTTGTCATCTGATCCTACACCTACCCTGGGAGATATACACGCTTCTCTCCAACTTGCAAACAAGAAGAAGGAGGACAAGGCCTGCTGTAGGAAGTCATTGGACCCTGTGAGCCTCAGTTTACCTGGTGTGTGCCATGGGGACACT